CACCCAGCACTCTTCCCTGCCTATGCAGGGGGTCAGACTCGATGATCTCAAGCAAATCCCGGGACGTCTCAAGCAAATCCCGGGACGTCTCTCAAGCAAATCCCGGGACGTCATTCTCCCCCTGTACTCGGCCTTAGTGAGGCCGCAGCTGGAGTACTGTGTCCAGTTTTGGGCTCCACAATTCAAAAAGGATGTGGAGAAGCTTGAGAGAGTCCAGAGAAGAGCCACGCGCATGATCAGAGGTCAGGGAAGCAGACCCTACGATGACAGGCTGAGAGCCCTGGGGCTCTTTAGCCTGAAAAAGCGCAGGCTTAGGGGTGATCTGATGGCCACCTACAAGTTTATCAGGGGTGACCACCAGTATCTGGGGGAACGTTTGTTCACCAGAGCGCCCCAAGGGATGACGAGGTCGAATGGTCACAAACTACTTCAAGATCGTTTCAGGCTGGACATAAGGAAGAACTTCTTTACTGTCCGAGCCCCCAAGGTCTGGAACAGCCTGCCACCGGAGGTGGTTCAAGCGCCTTCATTGAACACGTTCAAGATGAAACTGGATGCTTATCTTGCTGGGATCCTATGACCCCAGCTGACTTCCTGCCCTTTGGGCGGGGGGCTGGACTCGATGATTTTCCGAGGTCCCTTCCAGCCCTGATGTCTATGAAATCTATGAAATATAGCATGCTTTGGGGAGGAGTAAAGAAAAAAGCCTTATAAAATATAAAGAGGACACTTCTGGTATTCATTAGAAAGACTGTTTTCAGGTTGGAGTTCTACTCTTCCATCTATCTAGTTCATAGTATTGTAAGGACTAAAAAGTATAGTCTACCAAACATAATGCAGTATGCTCTTTATTTTCCATCTGTGGAATGAGATATTGTGTCTGAAGCCCAAATGAGATGTATGGTTTTCTGTTGCTGTCATCAATTATGTAACCTACTTGATGGTATTCATTAGGCTTGTGCGAAGTGGCTAATATTTGCTTCAGATTCCAATTCGGGCAATTCAGGGGAGAGTGATTCGATTCGGTGATTCGAATCACTGTCCCAAGTTGATTTGGCTGAATCTGATTTGAAGATTCGGCTGATGCCAAATCGGCCAAATCTCCAATTTGGACAGGCCCCATCCCCCGCTCACTCTCCCAGTCCCGTCAATGGCTGCCCTGCCCCACCCCAGCTCCCAGCACTTAAATAAATAAATAAATAAAAAGCTCCCACTCACCAGCTGCTGCCAGGTGGGGGGGGTGATCTTCACTGCCTCCCAAACCCCGCCCACTCTCCCAGCCCCACCCCCCATGGCAGCTCCACCTGGCCCCAGGTCCCAGCTCTTTAAAAAAAAAAAAAAATTCCCAAGGTCACTGGCTCCTGCCAGGCAGTTGGGTGATCCCCACTACCCCGCGCTGTGTGGGGGGCTCTGGCATTAGCCTCC